ATTTTCCGTCGCGGTTTCTGGTCTACTTCCGCTGGTTCGCCCATGAGGAATTTTGGGGCACATACACCTGGTGTCGTCATCGAGTTTCCACACCGACACGTTCTCACCTTGTCCCCTACGCTCAACGCTCGTTTTCAGTGGGACTTAACACCTGGTTCTGTTGGGTTTTACTTCGGCGCAGCTTTGAAGATTTTGTGGACAGCTTTCTTGGAGGGGGGGAGAAAGTGCGCTGCACTGTTCTTTCCTTGGCGTTTTTCTCGGTCCTTTCTGACTTTGTCAGGTTGCGTCAGCACGACGGACGACCGCGATCACACCGACAAGATCAACGGTTCCTGCTCAATCGTGTTTGAATTCGCGTCAGCAGGTTCCCTCCCCTTTCGCGTCAATCTTCGACCGTCAGATCCACATCTGCTCGATCTACGGCCCACATTCCAACTTTCAGTTCATTTTGGGCAAGTTCATCGTCGACCGTCAGATCGAAATCGGACTTCATCAACGGCCTACATTCCAACCTTTTCAAAATTATTGTCAAAAGCATTTCGGCCGTCGGATTCAGCTGAAGAGGAGATCTACGGAATCCTCGCTAGTGTGGGGCCTGTTTTTTTTTTTTTTTTTTTTTTTTTGGTGGATATAAGTATACAACGTGCATCCATACATCCGCAGTCGTAACTGTTTCTAGGAGGGCTAAATGATTCGAGAAACATTTCCCCCCTCTTCATCTCTACGGAGGTTGGAAAGCCACCCCACCATCTTCCCAAATTGCCTTGAAACCTGCCTTCCACGTCATCGAAGCTTCGCATTGGTACAATTTGCGCATGACATCCGCCTCGTCAGCTGCCAAATGACTCCAGTCACCTGTCTTTTTCGGAGCCCTCTTGCCAGCCACCCTTTTCCGAGCCCGGCTGTAGATCTTCACGTGTCTTGTGAAGCTCACCGCTATGCGCCGCAGTGCCCTTTTTGGCTGGAACCGACTGCCCCTGAAAACCGCGTTACACCTCTCTAGCCAGACTTGGTATGCTGTGATCGAGATGAAAGCCGCCTCCGGAAAACCCGTCGACGTGCTGCTTTTCTGGAACATCATGTCTCCGAGGCTCTCCATGCACCTGCCCGGGTTCATACATCGTACTGCCCTCTTCATCACCCCCACCACTGGTTGTATCGTGGGGCAGCTGAAAAGGCAATGGTCCTGTGACTCCACCTCCCCGCAATGAACACAGCGCGCCCTCGCGCCCAGGAACGGAAGTCTCTCCCCCACCTGCAGGTTGTTGCTGTGCACTCTCAGCACCACTTCCCGTGCCCTGGCTGGGGTTGCAAGTGAGTCACGAATCTTGATGGCTCTCCTCCAGTCAATCTTTCTCCCCCTCCTTTCCTCCCACTGCAGTTGTTGTTTGGGCTGAGCAGGTGAAGGCCTCATTGCCCTTCGCAGTTGTCTTAGTTCAGCTCGTTCCCCCTTATCGCAGATTGGCGAGTGCAGCAGTCGTGACCTCGGGTCGCCCAGTAAGCCACGCATCCTCCCCTCTATGACCGCCATAGGTGTGGCGATTAAATGGTCGACCGATACCACACTGGCGTACTCCAACGCAGATATGTGACCCTTCTTGTCAACTTCCGCCCGCTTTCCATATAGCACACCGTTAACCATGTACTCCAGTGTGTAGTAGAAAAACTCCCTCGGCCTGTACGACGGTATTCGCACCAGCCGTGACTCCCTGAAAACCTCCTCTGCAGTCAGCTGAGTGAGTAACATGTCTTTCCAACTCTGCGGCGTTGCCTCCCACGCTTTCCGGGCCCACTTTCGTTGGTCGATTCCCCCCAGCTCCTGTTCCAGAGTGGCGTCACACTTGACGGTTCTGCTGCCGTCGCGGTTTTTCTTCAGCAAGTCCCCCAAGCGAACATCCTTCAAGCAGTGCGAGCCCGCCTGATTTCCGAAGGGCGACCGTCCTCTGAAAGAGATTTTCCGGTTGAATAGCAGTTGCTCCTCCTCCGCATCCCATCTGTGCGCAGGGTCGCCCATGGTCAAGATCTTTGAGTCCCAAAGGGCTTTAACAGCTGCCTTCCATCTTGTCCCTCCTCCCAACCAGTGGTTCAGAATCGAAGGGTGGGCGTAGACCGTCGCCAGGCCGAGCGGGAAACCTGCCGCCCTCTCCCATAACCAGACTCTCAACGGTTCTTGCTCCACCAGGGCCTTCCCCAGATTCTGGATCACGCTGCTGTCTATCCTATGCTTCAGATCGATCACCCCCAGGCCGCCCTCCTTTCTTTCCCGACATGACAGGTCATAGCTCCAAAGGATGAAATGTCTGTCCAGCAGTGCTTTGCCCCCGGAGATGAAGTTGTGGCAGAGTCGTTTCACCTTCGTCCAGACTTCGTGTGGCGGAGCGTATATTTGGGCCTGAAACAGCAGGATCGGCATCACGTAGCTGTTGATAATGGTGACACGTGCAGACGTCTTGAGGTGCTTTGTTTCCCAGCAACTCAGCACCGCGCTTACACTCTCGAAAGCCTTGTCCCAAGCTGGTTCCGGCGATCCACCAGATGTAATCCAGATCCCTAACAGCCTCTTCGCTCTGTCCTTGTCTACCCAGGTGAAAGGTGAAACCAGCGGCTGCAACCTCCTCCTGTTTTTCCCCAGCGGCATCAGCGATGTTTTCTCCTGATTCACCTTCAGCCCCGATATCTCCGCGAAGTCATCTAACAGCTTCTTTGCCGATACCACCTGTTCTTTCCCTCTCAGGACCAGGGTCGTGTCGTCCGCATAGCCGATGTAGGCCAGCTCTCCTTTGACCCCCCTCTTCCTGACTCCCAGTTTTCTCCTCTCGATTTCCTGGCAGAGTGGCTCTACGGCGCAGAGGAAGAGATAAGGGGCGAGAGGGCAGCCCTGCCGAACGCCCTTATCCATTTCCACCTTGTCCCCCACCCAGCCGTTTAGCAACATCCTGGTGGCAGCGCCGTCATGAAGACCCTTCACCCATCCCGAGTATCCTGGTGGGAAGCCCATGTTCTCGAGTGTCTTGAACAGGTATTCCCGCGACACCGAGTCGTATGCCTTCTGGAAGTCGACCAGGAGCAGCAGCCAGTCCTCATCCTCCTCCACCGCAGCGTCAATCGTGTCAGCTACAAGACAGACCGCGTCGGCTAGGCTTCTCCCCGGGAGGAAGCCGAACTGATTTTCCGATATCACCTTCGGTAAGACCGCCTTGATCCTGTTTGCCAACACTTTCGCCACCAACTTGTAGAAGAAACACAGTAGAGTGATTGGTCTGTAGTTGCTCAAGTTATCTCTGTCCCCCTTTTTGTGCAACAGGATCGTAACTGCTGTCAGGAAAGCTTCGGATAGCCGCGCCGTCTTTTCGAACTCTTTGACCTCCCTCATCACAGCTGGCCCGAGGAGGTCCCAGTTGCGCTCAAAGAACTCCTTCGGCAGCCAATCTTGACCGGGGGCTTTACCCACTGGGAGCCCCTTGAGCGCCAGCTTCACCTCCTGCTCCGACCATTCTCTCCCCAACAGCTCCCGGTCTGCCTCTTGTAGTCTCCGCCTTTCATCGATCGGCCACGGCTCCTTGGTGGTCCCAGCCGGTGAGCATGTGTATGCCTCTCGGAAATGCTCAGAAGCCGCCCGCAACACCTCCTTTGCCCCTTTCAGGCGTGTGCCTTTAAACAAAAGCTCGCTGATCTCTGTCTTCGCTTTTCTTGATTTGACCAGGCCCGAAAGGAAGGCCGATGGTGTCTCCCCCGCCAGCTCCGCCAGCATCCCTGCCATGACTTGGAGCCGCTCCTTGTTAACATCTTGGTAAAGTTTTAGGGCCGCTTCACTCTTTACCAGCTCTTCGTACGCGTCTTGTGCCGATGGATCTGACATCACCCTCCACCGTAGGGATTCCACTTTCTGCTCCAGATGTAGCATGGTCGCCTTCACCCGTTTCCTTTCCTCCGCTACGTGTGCTCTCATGCTTGCCCGCAGATGCAACATAAGTCTCTCCAAGCTCTGAGTTGGCTAGTCTGCCTGCGCTTCCAGCACCGCTGCTATGATATTATGAGTTTCTTCTCCGCCGGCCTGCGACGCCTGAAGCCTCCAGAGACCAGGCCCATGATCCCCTGCCGACGCCGACTTAAGTGTGACCGACACCGCAAACCAGTGGTCGGTGAGGCCATAAGGCACCATCTTGTGTTTCGCCTCTGTTACGTAGCTGAGTAGCGAGTGAGAAACTAAGACCCTGTCGATCCGTGTACTCGCCCTTGCAGATCTGGAAAAGAAAGTGTACTCTTTGCGGCTTGGGTGCAGGCAGCGGAAAGCATCTTGCAAGTCCCATCTCGAGCAGATCTGCAGGAATCGCTGGTTTTCCGCCGGAGTGCCAAGCTTCGACGATTTATCCAACTCCGGATCAGCCACGATGTTGAGGTCCCCAAGAAGGATCGTATGAGGCGATGTGCCAAGGCTCTGCACGAAAGGGGTCAGTACATCGCGGAAAAACACCCCCCTTGCAGAAGCTTGTGCCGGTAAGTACACCGCTACTATTCTGCAGCTTAGGTCCCGCCACTTCACCATGAGACTCATAAGCCTGCCTGACACATGTCGAACTACCTCTGTGAACCGCATCCCTTGCAGGAAGCCCAAGACAGCTAACCCGCCAACCCTCTTCGACGGCGCCACCACTGCTTGAGCTTCTGATCTAACTTGCGTCCAGAAATTATGGTCTGCCGGGATCCTGGTGTCTGTAAGGACCACCATGTTCGCTGCCTTCCTTAACCACCTGACACATCTCTTGTTTTCCGCTGCCGCCGAGCCCGTTGATGTTGAGCTCGAGAAAGGTGAGCTGGTTGGTCTTATCCATTAATCCACTTCGTTGAGCCCCACAGCATCCACGGGCGGTTAAGCTTTATTGCAACGATACATCCTGCTACAGCGAAAGAAAACAGGGCACCCACTACACAACTTGTACCAACAATCCATCCTGCTGCGTCATCCAGTCCGGTCCAGGTACTTGTGACTAAGCCGCTGATCACTTTGCTACCGCTTTGACAATGAACTCCTTCTTGAAAATGGCCATCTTCTGGGAGTGCTTGCTGGCACGCGTTGTGTTGCCGTCTGCCTTCAAACCCCCTTTGTGTCTGGCAGATGCGACATGAGCCGCTGCTTGTTCGAAATGGTTCCCTTGCGCCTTCTCGCACACCGTTTGCACACATACCCACTCCTCCCGCACACCACCTGTGGAGGTGAGTACTACCGCGGGGTCTTTCAGGATGCGTTTCATGGGGGCTGAGGCTTTCAAGGAAGCAGCTGCGGGGAGGAGTGGGAAAACAGTCGTCAGTAAAAGGTAAGAAAGGAGAAGCAGGCGGTAAGGATGATAGAGGAGATGAGCCAGAAACCATCCTGCATGTACCGTTCATCTCATGAACCTTTTTGACTGTCAGGTTCCAGCTGGTGAAGTTCTCCTGCCTGGGGGTGATGTAGTGGTCATGGTAGCGTGACATGTGATGGCCGTTGCAAAGTTCGCAGGACAGCGACGGAAAGTGCAGAAGGTAGCGTCTTCCAGTCGACGGGTCCTCAACAAAATACCTCCAGCGGTATTGATCAGCGGCGTGGGGGATAATCAAACCACGAATGCGGTCAGTATCCAACCCGGTGACCGGGTCCACAGTACGGTGAAAACCAAAGCCGCTAGCGAAGGCGCTCCTGCCGCGTTTGACGAGCTTGGACACCACCAACAGATGGCGGATCAGCTCAGCAGTGATGTCGGCCGGCAGTCCCTTAACCACCACCTCCTTCGCCGACGGGTTCAGGACGCGTTCACGAAGGAAACGCGCATCCTCCGGGTGCTGCCAGGTGAGATCAATGATGTCGCCATTCACACATTCATGCTTGATGATCTGGTTCCAGATGTAGTTCGCGTCCCTGACACGGTTAAAAGTGACTTGCAGGCGGCCATAACGCGTGCCTGAGAAGTATGTCGCTGTAAGCTCCTGATACGTCGTCGTCTGTAAAGCGTCCGGAGATAACTGATCCTTCTCATCATCGAGCAGCGCTGCAACCGTTATAGCAGCACGCTTGACTTCAACTTTCCTGGAGATCGGCACCAACAAGGTTAGTGAAAAACGCTTCAAGGCAATGACGCTGCTGAGCGAATCAGGTTCTAGATGCTCATCCGAATCGTCGCTCAGGTAGCCGTTGTCATCCTCGCCAGGGGCCTCAACCGACTCTGCATCATCGTCTCCTTGTTCCGTAGCATCCACAGCAGGTTCGTCAACCACCTCCTTATTCTCCCGATCCGCATGTTCCCCGTTGTCCTCCGCGTCGTCTTCAGCAGGACCGCTTTCCTGATCCGCATTGTTGTGCAGATCAAGGAGATCCTGGAACGGACCAATCACGTCAGCCGGCGATGAAGACGAAGGCGTACGGCTCTTGTCAGCAGCAGTCTTCACAGGTATTTCAGGTACAGCAGTCTCCTCCTTTTCGCGATCGTCATCAGCAGTCTTCTTGCCAGCTTTGTTATTGCGTCCCTTCCCCATGGTGCGATGATGCGAAAGGCTTGAAAGCCCGTGAGTGGCTGAGAAGCAAGCAGATCTGAGCACATTCCACGGGTCAGGTGGTGTTTTATAGCTTCTGTGTTTGAAAGCAAAGCGCTGCAGGTCCAGGCCAGACAGGTCCAGAGCTTTCTCCGAGGGGGGTGTCCGGCCTTTGGAGTTGAAGGAGACGGAGCCATGGAAACTCCCGTTGCAGCTGACATCAATGTTGACGCGATACCTTGAGAATGACTTCTGATTGCCGCGAGCAAACCTATGGAGTAGCGATAAGCTCAGATGAGAGTCTTGTGTAGTTTCTTGACTTAAACGGAAGTTAATCACTGATGCTAGCCTGGAACTCGCAGAAATGGTGTTTAGGTTCCCGTAATGAACACTAAAAATGCACCAATAGGTAGAGCTTAAAGCCGTGCATCGAATGAGCGTAACGGAGTCCGTATCAGGCAAGAAATTGATAGACATTGCCTGAGTTAAAGCACTCCGCCATGGCCATGGCGGCATTGTCATTGTCATTCCCTGCGGCTAAGTGGGGGCCTGTTTCAGTACAGGGCTGCCTTATTTAGAAGGTGGGAGAGTGTAAGGATTTACAAATCCTTACTGAGGCACTCGTTAGCGAGGCCATCCCGAGGGTCACGCGACGAACCTGTCCTTCCTATTTCGTCGCACCGAACCACTCCCGAGTCGGCCTCCGCTCCAATCGCAACCATCACCGAGCCATCTCATCCCGAACCCCCCGCCTAGCTAGCTTTTCCCCTATTTAGGCCTCGTCACTTTCATTGTATCGTCAGTTCTTTGAGTTCATTCTCGATATTCGATATTCTGCGCACTCTGCAAGTTCATTCATAACATTTGCACCCAAAATGGTCGCGTATACAGGACAAAAACGAGTAACCCGAAATAAAGTCCCTAAATCTGTACAGTGTTTCAGGGCGGGACAACGAAATGATGACAGGGCTCATCTGGGATAGCAAAGTTTCGAGTGTGACTACCCGTGATAGAAATTAGTGCCTTTGAGTGACGGCGGGTGATACCGGTGTGATGGTTCGTGATAGATTTGGCGGATTTTGTGACTGTCCGTGATAGATTTGGCGGAACATTTGACTACTCGTGATAACTCCTAAATGTTTTGTGACGGCCCGTATAAAAACCCTTTTGTGGGTTTTGTCTTCGTCACCCAAACCCCCACATTTGTCCCTGTGTCAGAAAAGACCAATCACGAAGCAAAGGTTTGCGCGAATAACGGGGAGACAGCCAACCCAGAGCGATCGCCTGCTCCTTCCGCCTTCACCGCTCCGCGCGTCGCGTCGGGGCGTCAGGACAGGCGGAAATTGCCCCAACCCGAAACTATTCCCTCCTTGCTGCAGTAGCGCATATTGCCCCCACCCCACCACAATCCCCCATTTCCCACTCCCACATGCCACTCCAACATCTGTACATCTGTCCTTCCTGATCATCGGATCGGGACAGATCAATTACAGGAAAATTCGTCCTATCATCATTCTTTCACCTTCGTTCTTCACATTTCCTTTTGCAGCAAGGAAACCTCTGCCACTAATAGCTGTCATAGCACAATGATCATCACTTCAGGCTGCATCTCAACTTGCACATTTCGAGCGCGTGTTTGCCGCTTAGCACATCGTTAAGCCTGCGCCTTCGCTAAACGCGATGAATATCCGCTCGCCCTTCGTGTTAAAAAAAAGCGTGATATCGCCGTCGTCAGCTTCTAGTAGCGGCATTGACGACGGACGATCCTCCGCATTCGGCGGCGGGAGTCTCGCGGAGTCTCTTTTTGGAAAACAAGGCCGGAACGACGGCTCGGAGTCGCTTCACTGGGAGATGCCCATTGTCGAAAACGATCCATCCGACACCGTCTGCGGCGCCGACCGCGACGCCTCAAGACTCTCGGACGAGGGGAAGCTTGGACGTATCGGCGCCACTTCCGCCGAAAATCCTTCCAAAACGCTGCCTCAGTCAAGCCACGGCCCGTGCGTGTATCCCGCGTCGTCGTTGCTGACTCAGCGAAGCAACCCAATCATGATGATGACTAAGATGACACGAGGCGGGTTTGAACTCATCACCGCCCCCGCCGCCGGTGGATACGAGCCGCCAGGGGCGGAACGCCGCGTCGGGGACGCTGCGAATCCACGATTCGATGCAGCGGTGAATGATCGTGTATCCGATCCGCTTCAAAATCTTGGATTAGGTTCGCGGAACCCCGTACTTTTTCCGAGCCTCCAGGATGTGGCGGCGCAGCCACAGCTCACGGCTCCATCCCCGCAAGTAGCGGCGGCAGGGGAGACGGGTTGGTCTGCGCCGTCCGCATGGTGTGCCCCGCGCACGCGGCAGCAGCTGGTGCCGCCGCGCTCGGACGCGTCACGGTCTGGCAGTCCGTTACTACCACGTGCCACGAGAACCGCAGGAACTTGCGGCCATTATTTTCCGGTTGCTGTGCCGCCCCAGTCAACAAGCGCCGTTGCAGCGCCTCAATCAACTTGCGCGCAGTGTCTCCCCGTTACCGGCGCAGCTGCGCCCCAGTTCCCATCCCCCTTCTCGGCTGCAGCCGGCGCGGACTTTACTCCACCGCCCATGGCCTCGCTACTGTCGCTCAACTTGAGTCGCTTTTCAGCTGCACCAGCTAAACACCTATTTCTAGCCAGCCACAGGGATGCGGTGGAACAGCCGCGGCCACAGCAGCAGCCGCAGCAACAGCCACAGCAGCAGCAGCTGCTGCAGCAACAACCACAGCAGCAGCAACGTGACCTTCGAGCTTTCGTGTCGCGTCCCAACGAGCACGCAGCTGAACCGCCAGCTGCTTCTGATTCTGTTGTCGCTTGTCTCGGAACTTTCCCTGAGAAGTTCCCACATCAGATGTCCTCGCTATTAGGCTTTTCAGCAACACCAGGCTGCATCTCTAGCCTCGATGCGGGACTGAAATGCTCAAATAACGACCTGAATAAACTCCAGCAAGGGTCCTCGGAGCAGCAAGGGCATCAGGAGGAGCAGGAGGGACGGATGTTACAACAACACAAGAAACGGACTCCTGATCTGAATAATATATTCATGGATGAGGGCGAGCGCAAGCGCCACCGTGGCACTCAGCAGCACACTGCTGACTCAGCAGCGTCGGGCGGCAGTGGCGGCGTCAAGCCGTTTTCATGGAATGCTACTCCTGGTTTTATACCTGCGGTTGTGGCTCCACACACGCCCGCCATTGCCGCTAAGTACAATGCTGCACCAAGCACACCTGCGGTTGCAGCTTCGTGGAACGCTGCTTTCACCACTGCCGGCTCTCCTGGGAGCAATGGGATGGGTCCTGACTCCGCCGTGTCTCATAACGGATCTCTTTGTAAAGGAGACGATGCCCTGCCCTCGGGAGGCAAGATCTCTCCGTCAATTATTGAGTCACCTCAATCTGTCTGGAGCCGTGTCAGCAAGGTGCAAAAATCGCGCATTTGTGGAATCTGCAACAAAAGTTTTTCCTCTGGTCAGGCGCTTGGCGGGCACATGCGGAAACATTGGCAGGGAGAAAAGGTAAACTCTTCTCTGGAAAAGCTGCTGCTGGAGACAAAGCCTGGGGACAGAGTGGAGCAGGCAAGCAAAACTTTGACAAGAAAGGGATATGTGGGGGATTGTAAGCTTACTGGGTTAGCTGGTAAAGGGGATGAAAGTGATGAAGGTGGAAACTTGTTTCCTCCATGCACGCAACAGGGCGGATGGGAGGGGAGCAGCAACAGGCCACACGAAGTGCAACATAACAGCTTTCCTGATAACAGCAGGTCGCACCTGGCAGTACACCATAAGCCTCTTGAGAAGGATGGCTCGCGAGAGCGCATGTTTGCGGAAGCTTGTGCTTCTGCCGTGTTAGACCAACAGGCTGCACGTGCACCACCTTTTTTTCCCAGCGATGTGCTGGACTTGGACCTTCGGCTGTAGGCGGATAAGTTTTAGATTTATTATTTCTTAGTCTCTTCTCTTCTATAATATATGTGGCCTAGTGTCACGCCCTTCCCCCCCTAGTGCCGCCTACCTACCTGCCCACTTTCAATGATAGGACATAAGCTATGTAGGATGGCTACATGTTCCATGTGCAAATAGTTTGTGGTGGGGCAGCGATAGTCTGCCAGGTTCAGCCGTCACAGATCCAGTTGCACTCTTGCAACACTCAGTACGCCTTTCCTGTCCAATGTTCCAGTTTGGGAAAACAGATACATTATATGCAGTTTACAACAAGCACATAGCCATAACAAACATTTCAAAAGAGAAAAGCAGTCTAACGAAAAGTGAGGCGAAATGCTAGCGAACGGGTGTGGGCGGAGGCTAGGGGATGTGCGAAGCCAACGAATCGGGACATGGGAGAAAACGAAAGAATCAACAGAACTTGCGATGCAAACGCAAGGTCCCTAGGGATCACCAGGTTGAGCTTCAACCAAGCAAACAATCCACCACTCCCATTTATTTCACATCGCCCCTCCGCTTATGATCACGGCGCCGCGCGTCGCGCCGGAGGCAGGCGCTCCTTACGCTTATTAACGAGGCGCCTCAAAGTGGCGTTTAAGAATCACCCCAGTATGCTCGTGCTTCAAGGTTCTTCCGCCGGCGCCGCGTAACAGGTCCACAGCCAGTCGCGCACGTCTCCGTCCTCCTCCGTCAGCTTCAGCAGCGGCTCCGTCAGCGCCGTCAATTCCTCGTCTTCAACCTCGTCTATGTACGACGTCACGCAAACGCCGTTTCTCGTCTGAAACGCGAACGAATGTGGGCTGTTATCCACGAGAATCGTGTTCCGTAAATCGCGTCCCACTTTAGCGAGGTCTTTCACATACCCTCCCCGCCACCACGTGCACGAGTCGCGGTACAGCCGGTGGTGGATCAATCTTCCCTCGGGATCCAACCAATCAACAATCGCGTTCGCGTAGTTCGGAATACTCGCGGTAAAAATCACCACCTCGTATTTCGCGGCCATGGCTTCCAGAAACGCGTCCGTTCCGGGC